TCTCGAGTTTGTTGTTCATACCTTCAGTGACGACTCTGACCCGGGCCTAAACACTCGCACTCCTGAAGGCTCCTTTGCCACCGCACAAGAAGTCATGAAGATGAATGCAGTAAGCTTTCTGCATCAGCACTTCCTCGATTGCACCAACGCCCCAAAGCCGTTGCCCAAAATGTATAGAATCATCGCTTTCGCCCTGACGCGCCAAGAAACAACTTCCCTCCACAAAGCCCTGACGGCCGCATATGCACAAGGAAGTGTTGCCCACTCCAATCAACGCATCGCAGTCGAGCCGCTCATATATCATGCCGGCCTCACTAAAGAAGCTCGCGAAAAGGCCCACAACGACTGGACAGCAAACGAAGAGCTCTACGACATCATAACAACCAAGTACCTCGTACCTTCAACTCTGTTCCGTATTATGGTTTGTACGTCCGCCTTCGGTACCGGAATAGATGTTCCAGATGTTCGAGCAACAGTTCATCTTGGCGCCGCAAGAAGCCTCGTCGACTTTGCACAGGAGAGTGGCCGGTCTGGACGCGACGGACACCACGCATTCGTCTTCGTCCTAAACTCAACCCAGTACAATAAGAGCCTCGAAACCTCCCTTCTCAAAAAGGGCAACATTGACGAAAATGATCTCGCAGTAACGAACCGAAACGAGATGATGAATTGGGTCCTCAATACCACGGATTGCCGCAAAGATGCACTTTACACAGCCATGGATGGCCAAGTCTCTGGTGTCTGTCGCTTCGACAAGCACGCAGTCTGGTGCGATGTTTGCAGATCTATGTTCCCCTCCCAGCCAACTAATGCACCGCACACCCCTCAGAGTTCACAATTTCACACACCGGATACCTCTAGACCTTGGGATGCAAATTCGCAATCCCAGTCTCAGCAACATTCGCTTCCCACCACACCATCGCAATCGCAGTTGCCACCTCCACATCAAGATCAAAATCAAAACCATCTCGAGCCTCAACGGCAAAACCAAATCGGAGCCACAACATCCACGCAGCACAACTTCGATGAAATGCTTCTCTTGATTGAGCAATCCGCTCCAACCAACCCCCCTCCAGCCCCTCCAGTTCGAAGAATCCTTAGCTTCTCCCCACAACAATCAAGTGAACGCTTGCTGCCTTCAGCATCACCTTCAATGCAGCAAGCACCATTTCCAGTCCGTCCACGGTCACTTCCGACGGCGTCACCATCTTTGAAGCAAGTCCTTTCGGGCAAACAACCCGCATCACTTCCACCATCGGGAAGAAATTCATTCAAGAGCTTACGAACTTCTCCCAGTATGGCGCGCCAAACCCAACCTAATGTTCCCACAAACCCTTTGCCTTCCCCGTCACCTCCCCTATCGTTGCCATTTAGTCACTTCCAGGCAATTGGCACCGAATCCACGGTTCATTTAGTAACTCAATTCCTCTTCCTAACCAAGACGACGTGTCTCTTATGCCACGCTTCTCCCCGCCGTTCCGGTACGGAACATCCTCAGAATGACTGTCCATTCATGGAAAGAAGCTGCTATGCCTGTTTCTCTACGACCCATTTCGTCCCGTCTTGCCCCGTCCCAAGAAAAGTCCCTCTCAAGTGCTATGATTGCCGCCTCTCGCACTGCCTTGGCCAACCACTTCACCCCACATTCGGCCAATACGGTCGTTGCGATCTACGTCCTATGATATCACTCGCCTGGAACCTTTGGCGAATGAAGTCTTTCCAGCAACAGATCGCTGAAAACCTGTTCCCTTCCGAAATCCTTTGCCGCTTCAACTCCGTTCTCCGTGACCGCCCGGCCCGGGTCACTGAGAAGGACTTAGCGGTCATCTTCTCGGATGCATCCATAGAGTCCGCTGACGAGAATAACGACGATATGCCTCTGACAATATGGCTCCCACTGGCTTGGGCCATACATAAAGGTCTTCTCCAACTGGACTGCCAGTAGTTTTCGATATCCACATACTGCAGTATTAGGACCACATTTTCAATAAACTCTCAACGATAGAAAGCTTCAATCTTCTCGAAAACGGAACCATTCACATGTCACAGCGATCCTCACATTTCCATGTGCCCGTGCGATCACTACCCGCCGTTTTTGTTGAATCATTCATTTATACATCTTCTACGTCGCGCCATATCCAACTGCTATGCTCACTAATTGTGCCGTTTTGCTGTTTCTCCACTACACAAACAACCCCACAAAATTTACACTTGTGCTTTCGTAACGGCCATCTACTACAGAAGTAGCTGAAACAGAAAAGAAACATGCCAACGCACCGTTCAGGCCCCTTGCAGGACGCGTCTTGCGAGTAGCCCTCTCCAAAGTATCATTCTCCCACCCTTCCAAAACGCATCGTTCTCGCGCCCCTCCAAAACGCATCATGGGCGCACCCCTCTCGAACGTATCATTCTGGCACCCCTTCAGAACGCATCGTGGGCGCACCCCTCCCGAACGTATCATTCTCGCACCCTTCCAAAACGCATCGTTCTCGCGCCGCTCCAGAACGTATCATGGGCGCACCCCTCTCGAACGAATCATTCTCGCACCCCTTCAGAACGCATCGTGGGCGCACCGGTCCCGAACGTATCATTCTCGCACCCTTCCAAAACGCATTGTTCTCGCGCCCCTCCAGACCGCATCATGGGCGCACCCCTCCCGAACGCATCAATCTCGCACCCCCTTAGAACGCGTCGTGGGGGCACCCCTCTCGAACGTATCATTCTGGCATCCCTCTAAAACGAATGATGAGCGCACCCCTATAGAACACATCACGAGCGCACCCCTCTCCAACGTAGCATTCTGGCACCCCTTCCAACGCATCATTCTCGCACCCCCTCAGCTCGCATCCTAGACGCACCTCTCCAGAACCCATCGTGCTCGCATCCCTCCCCAACGCATCGCTGACACACCCGTCCAAAATGCGTCGTTGAGGCAACGATCATCGAAACCTGCATACGGCGCTTTTCAATTTTGCGCAGTAAATATCTTAGAAAGCTTCGATGTTCAGGACATAAATTACGCCGCCTTATTGTGTAATTCGTACATGCGCATTGGGACACTGTTAGTGCAGTATAAGGCCCTGCCACTAAATCTGCCTGCTGTAATTACCCCCCCAGCACGATACGTTTTGAGCACCTGACAATCTTGGCAGACGAGGGACATGGTACGTGATAAAATATGAAGTTAATAATATTGCTCATGCGCCTCTAATCGCAAAAGGCTAAAACCAGATTTTGCACACTGACATTTTATTGGCTGTGTGCCGCTGTCGGTAAACTTTTAGTCAGAAATTGCCAACAGCAATGTTGCAAATACAGCGCCTATGATGGTGCCGCCGTGTAAATTGGCCTAAAACGTATCGTCCCACCAGAAAACTGTCGCCGTTAAAACCGCGCGGCACGATACGTTTTGGGCCATATACCGTACGCAGTACCAAAATCGCACATACGTCAAATCAGGCCTGGACGATACGTTTTTTGTCATTACGTATCGATCTTGACATGTGCCCAAAACGTATCGTCCCGCGGGAACTGACGCCAGAACTAAACATAGGGAATGGATAGTCCCTACATCCTTATATCAATATGCGTAAACTCGTGATTCCGCCTAATCCCCCTAATTCCCTAAACGGATAGGGATAGTCGTTAGATGGCGGGTGCGTTGGGGGAGGGGCAACAGGAGTACGGAAGGGGAGCGGTGTGGTTCCAGAGAGCACGCGGATGAAATTGTCTCATACAGTATGTGGTCATTCAGGGCGGGGGAAGGAGTGATACGGACAGAGTAAGTGAGATCAGTAGTGAACCAATAGACGCGCGTTACAAGGAGCGCCAGCCAGTAGATGCGCGTCGGGATTCAGGGGCCTGAATACGGAACCGCGAATGATAGCGTGACAGCGACGAACGAGATCAATGACGCAACATGACAGCGAGGATGGCGTCCATCCGGCCAACGGCTGCCGTCTGATGCATGTCGGCAATTTTCGACGTCCATCCGGTATGATAAAATAATCAAATTTGGCCCTGTGCGCTTTGAAAAATTTCCAGATTTTTTTCTAGCCAATGCGCACTCCGTCAGACCGAAGTAAATTTGCGCTTAATTTCAGCGCACCTGAACGCGCGTCTGTTCGGACATGGGAATAGGGTGTTTCGCTTCATTGCGCTGGAGTGGATCGTCGGGGTGGGAAATGATCGAGCTACAGTCCTGATTATTAAGCATTTTTGACTGAGACTATGTTTGAGCCATAGTGTTAAGACCCAGATCCGGTTCTGTCTTAGATTCCTTATTGAAAGTGTAAATGTGACATTAAAGGCATTTGTATGACGCTTTCTGGAATCCGATTTATATTGAATTTTCCTTACATCAAGAGATTGAAGTAATGGCTCTGGTACGGTCAAAAATGATACCACGGGCATGGTGGACGCCCTCGGACGTCTTACAAGGAATTCCTTACACAAGGTTCCTTCAATCAAGGGATGACTGTAACATATTTTTGGTGTTTTTTTTTTGGGTGTAATTATTATTAGGAACAGTAACACGTGTACAGTACAGTAGTGCATTCGTAATCTCCGCGATGGTCTTCTCCTTCAGCCGGAGAGGAAGTCAGGGAAAGGGAGGACGCAGCAGGACGGCAGAGTTGCGGGCGAGTCTTCGACATCTGTGGCCAACGTCGACTCGGTGTTAATCGAAAACACTCATCTGTACGCTAACGGTACTCCGTTTCCATAAAAGGCAAAGTAGCCGACTTTCCTTACCCCCTTACCCGAATCCATCGGTCGCCCAGTTTAGCCCATCCCTCAGTCGGCCTCCGACAGCTCCGCCGCACCGGCTTACCACCCGCCTCGAAGATCCATCACACCGCGTTCACACCGCTTTCACACCGAATGGCAACACGCCCGCCGACGCCCGCCAAAACCGGGTCCCCTCCCACAGATCCTTTTCGGGGAATATAAATATTTCCTACATCCCATGCCCGCCGCCCCCACGCACCATCTTTGTCTACATGGCTCCGTGGCTCACTGCCTGCCGCATCGCTTTCGCCGTTTCGCTGCCAACTCAGTGCGCGCGTCACGTGCTGCGACCCACATGCCGCCCGCCGCCGCGGCGGCGCGTGGCGCTGCGCGCCTGCGTTACGCAGCAAAGTATCGCCCCCGCGCTTGCTGTGCTGCGCCGCGCAGCCGACTCGCAGCGCCTGGACGTGGCGCGGCTCAACTCCCTCGTGCGCCTGGCCGATCTGTTGTTGAGCGAGAGCAAGCGGTACAACCTCACGGCGATCCGCACGCGCGATGCCGTGCTGCTCAAGCACATCGTGGACGCGCTGAGCCTGCTACCGGCGCTGGACGCGGAGGCCGCTGCCGCGCCCGGCGCGCTGCGTGTCGTTGACGTCGGCACGGGTGCGGGGTTCCCAGGGCTCGTCCTCGCCATCGCGAGACCGCAGTGGGACGTCACGCTGCTCGAGGCCGCGCGCAAGAAGACACGCTTCCACGACATTGTGGAGCGCGAGCTGGCCCTGCGCAACGTCACGTCCGTGTGGGGGAGGGCAGAGGAGGTCGGGCAGAGTAAGATGCATCGGGGGCGGTATGACGCGGTCGTGGCACGGTCGTTGGCGGAAATGCGTGTTTGCTGTGAACTGTGCGTGCCGCTGGCAAAGGTGGGGGGCGTGTTTTTCGCGCAGAAGAGCGTGGGCGCGGGCGCTGAGGAGATCGCCGCCGCGAAGGAGGCCATGAGAAGGCTGGGCGGGAAGCTGGAAGGTGTGCACAAGGCGTGGCTGTGGGAATGGATGCACGGGCAGGGGGAAGAGGCGGAAGAGATTGACAGAAGAAAAAAGTGTATTGTGGCCGTAAGAAAGGTGAAGGCAACGCCACGGGCGTTTCCGAGGTTGCCGGGGGTGCCGAAGAAGACGCCTTCGCGAGACCGCGAATAGGTTTGCGAAGAGAGAAAGGCGTCGGGAGACCGGAGAGAGGAAATATGTTGATTGAGAGATGTGTCAGGGAATAGGAGCGCATGGGTGAAAAGCACACCGAACATTGCAAGGGGCGTACATGGACGTCTTGCGAGAAGAAGAGCGCAGGCACGTCGCGAAATGCACAGTTCGCTGTGGCAATGTGACATACGAAGTAAGAAGTTGCAGAGCGGCCCCGATCGCGAGTTTTAACGCCATTGAGAATTGGTTTATCTCGAGACATTGAGCAAGGTTTCTTAACGATGAGAATGGTTTTTGTGCTCAGCGGACACAACATCGCATTCCACACGCCCAGAGGCAGCAATGCATGCGCCGGTGCAAATTGCAAATGTGAACGACTCTTCGGGCGTCCCTATCAGCTGGCATCTAACTATCTTCGGGTATCTTTTTACTATGTTCGTCGAGTACAGGTGAAATGACTGCACGGTACAGTATGTGCCTTAGAGAATAACGAATCGTAACACTCTGAGCTTCAGGAAGACGCCTCAAATGCCGCGTTGGTCACCATCAACGCCCTCATCGAGAAGCCATATAGCCGCCCTCAAATACGCGGCGCAGGGTACTTGTGCCAACCTCTGACGCCCCTGTCATGAAAACCACGGAATCAAGATACCTAGCCTTTGGCGGCCTAGAATGACAATCCACCTCAGCGCACCTTATTGCAAGAGCTCCTTCCACTGTAGGGCTGGCGGTAGCCGGGCGGGCACTTTTTGCATGTCGCCCTACTAGTTGCACCTGCCCTGTCTCCATATGATTCGGGCGGACACTCAAAGCAGCTTCTCTTTCCAGCATTTGGCTGATAGTCTCCTTGAGAGCATGTATAGCAGGAGCTTCGTCCGCTGTAGTTTTGGTACGTTCCAGGCGCACACTTCTTGCACGTTGCCCTACTAGTCGCGCCTGCTTTCTTCCCATACGATCCGGGCGGACATTCAAAGCAGCTTCTCTTTCCAGCATTTGGCTGATAGTCTCCTTGAGAGCATGTATAGCAGGAGCTTCGTCCGCTGTAGTTTTGGTACGTTCCAGGCGCACACTTCTTGCACGTTGCCCGACTAGTCGCGCCTGCTTTCCTCCCATACGATCCGGGCGGACATTCAAAGCAGCTTCTCTTTCCTGCCTTTGGTTGATAGTCTCCTTGAGAGCACGTATAGCAGGAGCTTCGTCCGCTGTAGTTTTGGTACGTTCCAGGCGCACACTTCTTGCACGTCGTCCTACTAGTTGCACCTGCCCTGCTGCCATACGATCCAGGCGGACATTCAAAGCAGCTTCTCTTTCCTGCCTTTGGTTGATAGTCTCCTTGAGAGCACGTATAGCAGGAGCTTCGTCCGCTGTAGTTTTGATACGTTCCAGGCGCACACTTTTTGCATGTACCCGCGCTAATTGCGCCTTCCCATCTCCCAAACGACCCGGACGGACATTCACGACAACTTGTCTTGCCTGTTTCTGGTTGATAGTCCCCCTGGCGACAGGTGTAGCAGGAGCTTCGTCCACCGTAGCTTTGGTAGGTACCCTTAGGACAAACCAAACATGACTTCTTTCCTGTATCAGGTTGGAAGCTGCCGGCGGGGCAGTCCCTGCAAGGCTCTGCCCCAGTCGAGCTTACAGTTCCTGGAGGGCAGAGGTCTCGGGCATTGGCGCCATGCCACAGAGGAAGCAAGAAAAGCAGGACGTATAATGTCGTACTGGTCATTCTGGTAGAGAGGGCCATGTCTGGATTGAGATGTGCAGTGGTGGTGTGAATGATCTTTGAGGGAGGTGTCGATGTAGATCGGATGGCAACTGAAGAATGTGGCGTCTTGCTCACACCAAGTGAAGAGGGAGTGAAAGCGGAGCAAGGCGCGGCTCTTATGTACTGCTAGCAGTGCTGTGCGTTACTTTTTGTTTCTGCGAAGTCTTCGCGCCGCCAGCCCATTAACACATGCTGGCCCTTACGGCCTAGACGTGCTGTACCTCGTTGATTCTCTGCCCCACGAGGACTTCACATGTGTTCAAGTGGCGAGTGCCAGGCCTGATGTCAGGATTGTCAACAATCCTCTAATTCCCTAATGGTCGGGGGTATGTCCCAGCGAAGATATGCCCCGAGTACGAGTACAATACTTGGCTATGTACGCACTGTGTGTCGCCTCCTTCAGCCTCACTTGGTCTCCTGCTGGCAGTGCGCCCAGAGATTAGGCATCTAAGATTTGGAAACCATGCAGGATAATCATGTAATGGTCTTCAGTTGGTAAGAAGCCATTTAATTCTGAATGCGTAAGCTCCCTATTATACACAAATTTTGTAAGCAATTCAAGGGCTACAGAAAAAGGCAGGGCAGAGAGTACAGACGACGACTGATGGATGCATTGCGTACTTTCTTGATACTGTACGTAGGTGCAATTGCAAAATGGATACGGTGTGGCACGAATACTGTACCTTCGTACTTGTACAGTAACTGTAATCAACTGAAGGCGGTGAGCTGCATTTTTGCGACGTGAGATGGAGGAAATCACGATGGAGCCTCCTCCGTTCCCATCGATGTCCCTTATCCCTCTTCCCGCCATGCTCGCTCCTGCGACCCCATCCTATTGTTGTCTCTGCTCTGGGAATGGCGTGGTGTGGTATAGACGTACTGTAACACCACATGCCAACCTGGCGCATCGTCACTCTGGTGAAGCGCGTCTTCACGCCAGGCACATAAAGCTTTAACATGTCCGCCAGGCTACGCAGAGTCTAGATGGCACGTGTCCTTATTTGAGGTTGCTTTCATGATAAGAAAAGAAAGATACCCTCTCCATAACACATGGCTCCCGCGAAGCGAATGTATGGACAAAAAAAGTAGAGAGCTTACCCAGCACGATTACCCAGCACGATTTTTACAGGGTTTAGGAAAGAAGCAGTCACAGAATTCTGAAATTCAAACGTGAAGAAGAGTGCGTCGTTGTGGATGGTTCTCGCTAAGTCTCAACAAATACATTGCTCAAGCGACGTAAGAGTTTACCGTAAGCAATGCCGTAGCAATTCCTTTGCTGTGCAGCGAAAGATAGGACGTCGCTGAGTCCGACTGCATCCTGCAGTCATGCAGTACCACTAACCCGAAGTACATTACCTTTGTTCTCCTGAGATGAAATGCGTTCAGCGTCAATCTACAGATCTCTTTAGTGTCTGCTTAACTGTACAAGTACTGTACAATACTTCTGGTGTGGCATATAAAGGCTTATGTTTCGTGCCATTACTCTAGGAGGTGCACGCACAGCCAACACTGCTTTCATCCATCCCCGGACTCTCTTGGTCCTGACGTGATCTCTCAGGTCTGAGAAGCTGCCAGTTGCACATATCTAATGGGTGTACTAGACCACTAGACCTTTGTCTGTAACTGAGACAAAGGCCTACTAGACCTTTGTCTCAGTTACAGACATACAGCGAAGTTAGTAGATCTTTACAAATACCCTCACCGAATAGTGGACCTTTGTCACTGTTAGAAGAGCATTGTCGACAAAATTGTTCGCAAATACAGTAGGCCCAACACACCTAAAACTATCCCGTGTACAATACCGTAGGATGCCAAATTCTGCGGCCGTATAAACCTGGTTCATTGACTTGGAAACCGTTTGCAGAATATTTGTATGACATACCTGCATTTATGGGTTTTGGCAAGTAAACTTTAAATTGGTAATTCATCCGCCTGTCCTCGGCTATGAACTGTGATGCAAAGAACACCGATGCCTCCCCCCTCCTGTGGAGAGGGGGCCGACTGTGGCTTTCATGTGTGCGTGTCTGATGTGCCCTAACAGCAGTGCCTCATCTACTGTGCTTTCATAGCTCTGCATGGAACCACATGGCCAAACTGTGAAGCGGTTGCAGTATCAATTCGCTTCATATCTTCCACGAACTAAAGCGATTACTTCCACAATGATGTTGGCATGTGCCGACAACGCTGATAAAGTCGCAAAACCGTTGCAAGAGATCTCTCTAAAATCCACTGGTGAATGGGCACTCACCCTATAACATCCGTTGACACTCTCAGGGCAGTCTCACATACAAACTGGTTCCATCTCTTAAATGCGTTCTCAAGTTGTGACTCTGCCAGTCGTAAACAAGACATTGAGCAAAAACAAAACCATTCACGCAAGAAAATAAAAACATCCTGTCGACTCAACCTGCCCTGCTTTGTGCCAATATTCCGACGTCTGCTTGTCTAGCATCTTCTCCCAGTCTTTCAAATGGAGCTCCACAACCCATCTCATCGACCTTCAGCGCCTCTGCCAGCTTTTCCAGAATCATCCTCTCCTGCTTCGCAACCTCCCCCATCCGCCGTTGTCACCTTTACCGCCGCCTCAATGAGCGACTGCTTCTCAATGTCTCCCAAGTGCCTTTCCTGCTCTCTCACTTTTCCCAGCATATCGTCCAGCGCCCTCTTCTTCATGTATTTGGAAATGCTTTCCAGTTCTTTTCCACCCGCGTCCGCGGGAGTTCCGCACTCATAACGCCCCTGCACGCATCTTGCCACTCGGCGATTTCACTCTCATTGACATTCCTATCCTCCATTGCTACGCACAAACATACTTCGACTAGCGAGTTGTCAAAATCTTGCGTTTGCTTGCCTCCGGCCTGAACGGCCCAAGGGTAGTCGAGAGATGTTGCGCTGCCGCGAGAAATCGCAGCTGAATCGAGGGTCAAGCTCGCACCTGATTGACGGAGCGGACATGCTGTCGAAGGAATGGAATGTGAACAGGTCTACCAGCTACTTCGAGCGGGGGCGTGCATGAGCAGGGCTAAAGGCATCTGCTTCGATTACGCTCCCGCCTGGAGGTCAGGGTTCGGGGCGGCCAGGAGTATGGCTGGGTGTATCAGTTTCGGTACGGACCGGGATTGGGACACCACCACGCCCGTGGACGTGTTGTTGCTCCTGCAACTCCGCGCGCACCCTAGGTTTGCGCTTGGCAACATGTCTCGCGACGACATAACCGACGACTACCCTGCGGCCGGAACCTAACCGGCACGTCGTGGGCCCCGGGTGATATGACGCTGAACAGCATCGCCGCAAACGTGGGGGCGGCGACAACGCTGTAGCATTTCGAGGGCTGCGACGGCGTGCGCGACATGTTCGCGGTCGCAGCGCTGGGGCCGGAGGTTGAGGCCGCGGGTGCTGGGATGTGCGGGTTTGCGATGGAGTCGGATGTCGAGGGAGCGTGGTGTTCGTCGAGGAGATGCAAAAAATGGCGGCATGCGGATGGATGAAATGGACATGGTGGGGGGAAGAGGCAAGTCGGGCGGATGTCATCGGTTTCTACGGGTTAGCTCATTTCTGAGGTTGCGTTCAAAACGCGTACGGCCTGCGAAGGTGGTCCGGTGGTTCCACAGGGCACTCTAAACGGGGGATTAATGAGTCCAAAAAAGTGGAAGTACTTTGACATTTGGCAGCTCTCAAGTCTGGACCGCTACAGGGAGTTGTGATTCTGTTCCTCACCTTCACAAATGGAAAAAGCCGCCTCTGGTAATACGTACATACGGGTACTGTATGAGTCAATGTTGACTCATACAGTATGTACGTATTACAGCACAGCAGAGTACATGATTGTCAACAGTCATGTACTCTGCTGTGCTGTACACTGTACCACTCTGCTGTACCGTTGTCACAAGTTGTTTGCGTGTACCGTACCCTTCGAGGGTACCGTGCCCTTGGGAAGGGTACTGTACACGTATAGAAGATCCCGTAATGCTATTGTTGTAAAATCGTTGCTTGTCATACCAACGGAAATCGTATGTTGGTATGGCTGACTCCCTTCTGTCTACAGTAAGGCTGGTCGTGTCCGTGGTCGTTGCGATGTATTCAGCACTTGGCTGGCGTGTTTCGGTCTGCTCTACCCACTGCCCGGACTCTTTTCTTTAGACTATCGTACTCTACAGTCGGTAACGACTCGCAAAATATGCTGCATTTTGACATTTATGATAAAATTTAACATTGCCGTCGACCTCGCCAAAGTGGCCACTTTCCACGCCAAGGTCCACTTTTTCCTGGCACCTCAGGCTTATAGGACGGCTACGTCCCATTTACCTCTCCCAGCCCTGCGGTGTGCCGCACACCGGGATCGAGTCAATGACTGCCAATCAACGAACGTGATAACCGCGCAGCAAGGGGTTTCGTCTCCTAATGGAGACAGAGCGCAAGGTTGAAGCAGACCCGACCGGTGGGGCCACAATGACCAGACCACCGTGTTTCGCGTGTAAGACATGTAACTTGAAGACTCCAAGCCTTTCAGTCCGATTATCCATATCGCAGTTACTAATGCGGGCCAATGTTGACCCGGGGGACCGTTCGAACCCCTTTGCCAGACTTGACAAGTCTCGACAAAATGTAATTCACCTGTGCACATATTGCAGAGACAACACAATTGGCTGGAAAGTCATTTCGAACCCCAGAAAGTATGGTCCCTCAGCAGCGGCTAGGGCCCTCAAACGATGGTCATCGAGATTGAAGACAGAAGTCAAGAGCTCCATCAATCACATCTGTTTTATTTGTTCGACAATAGAAAAAGGAGCGGAGACGGAGATTCAGAACTCCACCGAGGATCGTAGACCAAAGCGCAGTCCGACAGTGGATTGGACACTTTTCAATGTCTGCGGAGCTTCGAAAGAAACGCGCGAAATATTCACGGATGAGTTTAAACGCCTATCCGACTGCAGTGCTGTAACTATTGGAACTTTACTTAA